AGAGAGAGAGAGAGAGAGAGAGAGAGAGAGAGAGGTTGAGCCGCCTTTTTTAATGTGTGATGGCGTTCACGGCGGGCGGGTGTTTTTGACTGACGAAGAGAGCTTCGTGTTTCGTTGTGGAAACGGTGAGAAACAGGGGTCTTTCATTTGAGTTTAACGGGTCTGCGTGGGGTGCATATTTTGGTGTAACGGGGTTTTCTTACCCTTGGGGTGAAAGTGGGTGTCTGGTGTCCTAAGACGGGTTCGCTGGCGGGCCTACGGTGCAATCCCCCGAGGGTGGATGACGGGGGCTCTACGGCATCAAGCTCTGGCACCTGCTCATCGGACAGAGAGAAAGAGAAGGAGGAGGGGGAGGAGGAGGTGGAGAGATTCGCCTCCTACCCCCCCCCTCCACGTGGAGCAGCAGGCGGTGGTGCCTCACCATTGCCACGTGGCAGTCCCCCGCGCGGTCACGCTGCCGCCGCCCTCAATTCTCATCCTTCGACTCATCAGCGACATCAGCAGCAGGCCATCGCCAATCACGAAAAGAGGAATGTTCAGGCGAACGTTCGTTCTGACAACGACAGGAAGCAGAAACCGACAAAGATGCCGCTGACGTCAACGACAGCAGCAGCACCAGCAGCTGCGTCAGCCACGCCACCTAGGAAGAGCAAGAAAGGAGGAGAAGGGGGAGGGGGAGGAGGACGAGGAGCAAGCATGAGGGAGAAAGGAGCACGAGGAGGAGGAGGAGGAGGAGGAGGAGGTAATGGAGACATGAAGGAGATGCTGTCTTGTTTCCGGTGGATAGGATTTAATTGTGGATTTAATTGCTCTCGAACGAATATCTATGGTGGGGAGGAGCCGTCCAATTGGGAGGAATACTCCATAGCCGAGACCTCGACAGACCTGTCGGCAGCAGGAACGGTATCGGGACCAGCGGGAGCAAATGCCACATCACCGAAGAAACGGCGGGGGCTGCGGCATCGGCTGCTGCCGCGCCGATGGAGCCGAGCGGGGAGGGAGGAGATCGAATGGGAGAAGGAGATGGAGAGGCTGAAGGAGAGGGAGAGAGACAGGGAGAGAGAGAGACAGAGGCAGCGCGAGAGGGAGGCGGAGTGGGAGAAGGAGAAGCAGAGAGAGCTGGAAAGGGAGCGCGAGAGAGAGAGGGAGAGGGAGAGAGAACGCGAGAGGCAGAGAGAGAGAGAGAGGGAGAGAACCTGGTCCGAGTTCCTCGTCAAAGCGAAGCTCGGCTTCGGCGGAGGAAGTCCCGCCTCCACATCCCGATCGCGCTCTCACTCGGGATCTGGGTCCGGACTAAGCAACTCCTCGTCTTTTAAGGAAGGCGCCATAGCTTCTCCATCTCATCCAGCAGCGCACTTCGTGGACGGGGGAGGAGAGAGAGGAGGAGGAGGAGGAGTTGGTGGCCGGACCATTGTGCGAGAGGAGGAGAGGAGAGGTGCTGAGCTGGACAGGCCAAGGGGAGGGGGCACTGGCCGCGCTAGCCAGGATGCATTGTACGAGTACGGCCTTTCAGACTCACCGGATATGGAGGACGAAGAAAGTAGGGATAGGATTCGAGGAGGAAGAAGAAGATTCGTAGGGAGAGTTGGAAGATGGGGAGGAGGAGGAGGAGGAGGAGGAGGAGGAGGAGGAGGAGGGCGTGGGTATGGCGACGACGTGGAGGAGGAAGAAGAAGAGGGAAAGAGCTATGGCGAGCAGGGAGTAGAGAGGAGTGGGGACTTGAGGAGGAGGAGTGACGTTGAGTCGAAGAGCAATCAGTCGGGGGAGGAAGGGGAAGGTCGGGATCGCCAGCAGCAGGGACCACCATCCGCCGCATTCGATGGAGCGACATTGCGTCAGCAGGAAGAGGGAGAGGGGTCGGGATCCGGATCGGCCTCTAGTGCGACTGTTGGTCTCGACGGACACATCCCTCTGTTTTTTTTTTTTGATCTGCTAATAATGAGTGACCGCCAGGCGCGGCTGGAACGGACGGCTGTGATAGTCTCCCGCCTGCATGTCATCATTACTAATCATTCTGAAGTATCTCGATCAGGAAGGCTCGGTAGGACAGGTCGCAGCATCAAAGGAGGAGGAGGAGGAGGAGGAGGAGGAGAAGGAGGAGGAGAAGGAGGTGGAGGTGGTGGTGGAGTAGGTAGGAGGTGGGAGATAAAAGGAGTAAGAGCGAGGAAGGACTTTTCAGAGAGGTTGAAGAAGAAGATGAGGAGAGGGTGGGGTAGGAGAGAATCGTGGCTGGCCTCGGGGGAGCCGTCGTGATGGGGAATGGATTGATGATCTCATGCGTTTAAGGTCGACGTCGATTTGCAGAGAGAAAGAGGAGGAGGAGGAGGAGGAGGAGGAGGAGGTAGAAGAAGTGGAGATGTGATCTGGAGTATGCAGCCTGGGCGCGTTTTAGGCGCCGCCCGACCAACTATATGGGGAAGCGGTCGTTCGCTTCCTAGGCGCCGACCAACGCTCTGGGGAGCGGTCGTGCGGTGTCTAGCCGCCGACGAATGGGGTCCGCAGTGGGGTCGTCCGTCGTCCCGACCGGTCCGTTCTCAGAGGAATGGTGCAAGGCTGCAAGAGCCCCAAACTGAACGTACGGTGAAGATTTACGAAATGGGATATCGATAACTACCAGGGAATCATCGCTGACGTAAGAGGTTAATTATTCAGTAAACGGATAATTCCATTCCATTCTTCTACGGTTACCTCTGTGTAGATAGACGCATCGGGGCAGCCGTCATTAAACAATTCATCCAACGCATCTGGACGCATCACGATGAGAGGGACCTACCTCTCGGATGCGTCACGTGGTTTTTTTCAGTTCGCTTTCTGATTGCATCATGATTGGTTGATTGATTCGCATAAGGATGCACTCGACGTTGTCGGCAACAACAATGATCTGACGTTTCGGAGAGGACGCGCTACATCGGATATGCTATTTGTTTTGACGTCTCGGGGGCACACACACACAGAGAGAGAGAGAGAGAGAGAGGGAGGGAGGGAGGCAGGAATGCATGGGCTGGGGATATTGTAGAAGGTGGCGGCATGTGTGTTGACGTCAGAGAAAAACCGGAAGACAGGTGAAGGGGTCGAATTCGCGGATTTTATGTTTGACAGCTGACTGCGGACACGGTCGCCGTCACACGTGTGGACGTCAACAAGAATGGTTGGACGCCAATCAGCCTGAACGGAGAGAGAAAAGAGAAGACGGTGTACGGACACTGGCTGGCGAAGAGGCGCGCTCGTTTGAATTTCTTTTTCTAGTGGATGTCAACTAGAAACCAACCCACGGACACTGCGCGCTGACTGTCTCAGCTTTTCGTATAATCGAGTGATTGATTGATCAGCTTTTTGCATAATTCGTTGATTGATTAATTAATTGACTGATTGATTGATTGATTGATTGATTAACTGTTGTGCAAAAGGCGAATCATCAAAGTACACATGGCGACCAGGGGTGGGTGAATGACGGCGAGAGAGAGCGAGACACAGAGAGAGAGAGAGAGAGAGAGAGAGAGAGAGAGAGAGAGAGAGAGAGAGAGAGAGAGAGAGAGAGAGAGATGTTTACGGGTAGGGCGGGCGCGTGCAACGTTTGCAAGCAGCAAGCGCGCTGCTGCCACGTGTCCGTTGACGTTAAAGGCAGAGGGGCAAATAACGATGACGCCCACGACGACGATGAGGATGACCGACACGATGATGATGATGATGATGGAGTACAAAGCCGTCCAGCATGCAACTCACGGACATTTGACGTCAACAACAATTCCGAATCTATGGACGACGTAAAATAGCGATTCCCGGGACCCTCTCCGAAAGGCGCGGCCGCGCTATGGTCAAGCGGTGACATTGACGTCAACGCAAACATCGAAGGCCGAGGAGGAGTGCTCTTGTTGAAGGAGAGGAGAAGGACATGGCGCTTTTGTATATTGACGTCAACGCAAACATCGAAGGCAGAGGAGGAGTGCTCTTGTTGAAGGCGAGGAGGAGAAGGAGATGGCGCTGGTATATTGACGTCAACACAAACGTCGAATGATGTGATGATGGTGAGACCATGCGGAGCCAGAGATAGTACGTCTTCTTTCACACGCGCGGCCAGACCGCCGGAAGCGGCGGAAGGCGCGCGGAGGGGAACGGGCCGCCGCTAAAAGCAGAAACCAAGCCGCAGTGTGTTACACTGGTATCTATCCATTGCAGATATTCTCCTTGGTCCAATCTGTCCTGTCCTCCCCTCCCCCGGCAGCCGCCCGCCCCCCCCTGCCTCCCCCCTCCGCCCCCTTTCCCCCCTTCCCCCATTGGTGATTGGATAACTGTGGGTTATTGGTTGAGTTGATGGATTGTTTTTTTTGTCCTACTGTAGAAGAGCAATACGACGGTACATCGGATCTGGTCCATTTGGTCCCAATCGTAGTGCAATTCCCGACGTACTGAAAATTCGATTTAACTCGATTCATTGGAATTCGATGTTTGTGTACTTCGATTCGGTCTCGATTCAATTTCGATTGGGTCTCGATTCGATGTCAAGTCGATTTCAATTCGATTTCGATTTCGATTTCGATTTCGATTTTGATTTCGGTTGGGGGGGACTTTGATGGGGTAAGATTGTCAATCGGATTTGGTTCTCTTTTTTTTTTTTTTTTGGTTTGGATTTTGGTTCTCTTTTTCGATTGGATAAGAGTAAGAGCGGATTTCGCTTGGATAAGGTTTCGATCGGAGCAGACAGAGTTCGATTCGATTTTTCGATTTTTCGATTCCCATAAGATTCCGATTCGATATAAAATATTCCATCTTGTTCGATTCCCGACACGTGCGCGTCCTCGGTTTGCGGCCAGGATAAGATTTCAAATCGAATCTGATTTGGTTTTTTCGATTGGAGATAAGATTTCAAATCGAATCTGATTCGGTTTTTCGCTTTGGATAAGATTTCAAATCGAATCTGATTCGGTTTTCCGCTTTGGATAAGATTTCAAATCGAATCTGATTCGGTTTTTCGAATGGATAAGATTTCAAATCGAATCTGATTCGGTTTTCCGTTTTGGATAAGATTTCGGGGATTCGGATTGGATAAGTTTTCGATCGAACTTCGGGGATTTCGATTGGATAAGATTTCGGGGACTTTTTTTTTTTTTTTTCCCGATTGGACAAAGAAGATTACGATTGGATCAAAAAAGATTCGATTGGATAGAAAAGGGTTCCCGCCCGCCTGCCCGACACTTCCGCGTGTCCTCGCCGACACTTCCGCGTGTCCTCGGTTTCTGTCTGTGTGGAAGAGAAAGATTGGCCGGTCATTTGTGTCACGCATGCTCGAGCCTCAGCAGCTCCTACCGGTAGTCGCAGAGCTCGTGCGGCCTACCGGTAGGCAAAGCGAGTGGCATCGAGGAGAGGAGGTGGTGGGTTCAATTCCCATTGTCCTCATGTACGTACCATCCTGGGCAAGCTTGGCGCCCACCGCCTAGAGATAGGCCTGTGGTGGTTCCCCCCACCCCCGAGCGGCATTGAGCAGAGGGACTGCGGAAGTTCGCACGCGGACTCTACTACCACCGCCTAGAGATAGGCCTGTGGTGGTCCCCCCCCCCCCCGAGCGGCATTGAGCAGAGGGACTGCGGAAGTTCGCACGCGGACTCTACTACCGCAAACCGCAAGCCGCAAGCCGAGCCTTAGTTTTTTTTTTTTTTTTTAATAGAAAAAAAAAAAACCCGTGCCGAGCTTCAGTTCCGTGCCCTGTTGAGCTCAGCAAAACTGCTACACTGCAACAGCAAAACTGCACACAGAGAGAGAGAGAGAGAGAGAGAGAGAGAGAGAGAGAGAGAGAGAGAGAGATTTCTAGCTGTCTATGCGTGTAAGCTACGTTCCAGAAATAAATAGTAATTTCGAATTAATTACTAATTAATTAATCAATACGCGTGCTTTTGATATTGGACGATGCTTGGGGGATATGCTCGAACGTATGACGCCTGTGGATCAACTGGTAGCAGTCATATTATTTTCAACTGCTGAATATAGTGGCGGCGGCGCATTTGATGCCGGCTCGGGGGGGGTTTTTTTTTTTTTTTTTTTTTTTGGAAGCCGGACTCAGCATTTTTTTTTTTTTTTTTGGAAGCCGGACTCAGCATTTTCATACACCGAGATTGAAATATGACGACGGAAGGGGGGAGGGGAGGGGAAAGAAAAGGACAAAAAGAAGACGAGATTTCGACGAGGGATCTTGTCGTAACGAACAGATCAAGGTAGCACCCACGATCAAATTTTTTTTTCCCCCCCCTTCTTTTTTCCGTTCACTACGTAAAATATTTCAAGAGGGCCATTTTTTTTTTTCAATTAAAAATTCGACTAGCAGGGAAGTAGCCGGCAAGCAATCTTGCACGCAAATCTTGGGGGACGGAGAAGAGGGAGAGGATGGGGTTAAAGCGGCGAGGGGGGGCGAGGGGGGAAG